GTGCCTAATACTGCTTTCAGGGTTGTGTGATGGAAGAGGGCCATGACTGATGTCAGGCCTGGGTTCAAATCCCACTCTGCCCCAGACGGGCTGTGTGGCTGTGGATGAGTCTCTTAACCTCTCTGTGCTTCCCATTCCTCAGCTGAAAAGGGGAGACGCTGATAATAGTAGCAGTTGCATGGCTGCTACCAGGCCTGGCTGGGACATTCCTATCAGGGCCGGGGACATAGGCTCCACCAGCGGTGCCACAGTCAGTGCACATTAGCTGTAGGCACCTTTCCCTCCCAGGCCACAGTGGCTGTGCGGCCCACAGTGAGTGCGTGACGGAGCCAGGAGTTCGGTGCCCTTGGCTGGGGCTTCAGAGCCCCGTGCCACCTCCTCCCTGTGAAGCCTGTTGCCCTCGTCTGTCCCGCCTGCTACTGAGCTGATCCCAGGCCTGCAGTGTCCGGTGGCCGCTGGCCTCCTGTCATGGGTGGGTGGGTGTGTGAGTCATGCCCCCTGTCTCCGTGTCCCATGTAGGCATCTGTGACAGGCCCTGTCCGAGCCCGAGTGTGCCCTCGGCAGCGCCCGAGTTCCTTCTGTTCTCCTGGGAAACTGCAAGCCCCGAGGCTTCCCCGGGGGCGGCTGCCTGGCAGGGGAGGCCCGAGGTGGCCGAGCTGCTGGCCCACCTGCGTGTCAGCCTCCGGCCCTGGGACGAGAGCATCCTGGAGACCCTGTCGCCCAAGCTCATTGCGGGTGAGACGCCTCTGGCGGGACGGCAGGGTGCTGCTCTCTGTTGCTGGGCTAAGAGGGCTTCTCTCCGGGGTGGGGAGGTGATGCTGCCACGGGGAGGAGAGAAGGCCTCCCCTCCGGGCACCATCTCCCGACCTGGGCGCCTTGCTCAGCCTCCCTTCCCCGTGTGCACGGCCAGAGAAAGCCACACTCCCGGTGAGCCCGTTGGGAGTTAAGTGGGCATGCGCCCAGTTCCTGGGCCCGGGCACACCGGATTGCGGGGGGCCCCGAGGGTGGGCCCCTTCTTCCAGAACACCATTCCTGCCTGGGCCCCGTCTCCACGCCTTCTTTCTGGAGGAGCCTGTCTGCCTCCCCTTCCCCGAACCCTCAGCTCTGAACTTGTCATTGAACGACGGTAGTGATCTGATCATGTTGTCAGACACCAGATGGGCCAGGAGTGCACACCAGATGCATCCGGGCACTGGGAGAAATTCAAAGATAAACACGATGCTGGTGCCCAGGTTGCTACGATCTGAGGGTCCTGCGGCCACGACAAAGGGGAAAGAGAAGCCAGGGCTCCAGGCAGAAGAGGGGGTGTTGGGAAAGCCCGTAAGGCGGGTGGGACTGGGGGTCGGTGTCTCCTCCAGGGAGAGCTGCCAGTGGGACAGAGTTGATCCGGGGCCCGTGGCTGTCCCAGGGCTGTTCTGACCGCACCCCCTGCTCCATGGCATGGGGGGTCCGGCTTCTGATTCTTTGGCAGCAGGATTTGTGTGTTTCACTGGAATTGCAGGCAGCACCTGGGTGAGGTTACACTGGAGGAATAAAGATACCTCCCCCCAATGATATCTTTCAGGCCTGAGTGAGGCACTTAGACCCCGAGGTGGCTGCTGGAGCAAGATCTGCAGCTTCCTACCGGTGAAGGTCATGTCTTACATGATGCTGCCCTGTACGCTGCCCGTGGAGTCCGCGCTCGCCATGGCCCAGAGGTGAGCAGTGTGGGCGGCTTTGTCTGCGCTGGGATCCTGGGCATGTGCATTACTCGCTTTCTTCAGATGGCCTTGGTGTCTCCTTCCTTTTTAGTGAGTTAAGCCAGCATGTCCTTCAGTCCATCTTCTAAAGTCCAACCCGGCCTTCAAACTCCAGCTCCGCGGTCCCGCCCGGGGTGGACCTTTCCTGGTCCCTCCCGCCCCAACGATGAGCCGCCTGTTCCCACGCCGCCTGCCCTGCGTGGACGCCCAGGCGTTTATCAGAGCCCAAGCATGGGGTCCTTTTGTGTCCACGGCCGCGGAGTCTGTGGAGGCCGTGGTCAGGCTTGCTCTGCTGGTCTCGCACGTGGCCAAAGGCAGTCGGGCTCGTGGAGCGGGTGGTGTCTCCACTCCAAGCTTCAGGCATCTTGAATCTGGGAAAACCAGGCTTCTCCTTTAATTGCCATGTGAATCCCTCGAGCTTTCCTGAATCAAAAGTGGCCTAACTTTGGTCCCTGGCCACTTTTGCTCAGTGGTTAGAGTGAAGGGTCCAGGGTTCGATTCTAGTTAAGGGCACATACCTCGGTTGCGGGATCTGCGGTGCATTGATAGTTCTCAGTTTTTCAGTCTCTCCCCCGCCCTGCCACACTCCGAAAATCAGTGGAAAGAATATCCTCACGTGAGGGGTAACACGCACACAGAGGGGCCTAAATCCGCCTTGTGAGAATTGATGGGGTTGGAAGTAGAAGTGCGCCCGTGGTTTAGCGGGACAAGGAGTATTGCTGTAACCTCGCTGCCTGTTGTGCCGCTTTTGTTTGGCTCTCTTCATTTTGACTTGTCTTCCTGCTAACACGGTGTGTGTGTGTGTGTGTCTGTGTGTCTGTGTGTCTGTCTGTGCAGACTGGTGCAGTGGCTCCCCGACATTCCTGACGACGTCCAGTGGCTGCAGGCCATAACTTCCCAGGTTTGTTCTCTACTGATGACGCACCTGCTCCCCACGCTCAGGTAAATGATTTGTGTGGGTCCGATGGGCACCCCTTTCACCTGATCAGGCCTGCGGGCCCTTCTAGAACCATGGTGGGGCACCCAGTAGGTGACGAGGAGCGTATCTTTCAGGGCAGGGGCGCTGTCCTGTGTGAGGCAGCCGAGTAAGTCAGCGGTGCCGTGCTGAAAGCTCGCCGCGCCCACCTGCACAGGGGCTGCCGGGCCCAGGGGGCCAAGGGAAGGCCTCCGCATGGGGCCCAGATTGGATGGAGAGCTGAGCGGGGCAGTGGGACGCCCCCGTCAGAAGGGTCAGGAGCATTGCTTTGCCTCTAGGAAGTCGCTCTGGGTGCCGGCAGCGCGGGGCGGGGTGGGGCTTCGTGGGCCTGGCGGGTGTCATGTTAATGCGGATTCCTTCTGACCTCAGACTTGCGGAGCCCTAGGCTGGTGGTGGAACCCCGAAGTCCAGACTGAAACATGGCCTGGTGATGTGGCCGCTCTGAAATCTGTACCCCGATGCGCAGCCAGGAGGGCCTTCTTCTGGTTCCGAGGGCTGGATCTTATCCTGAGAATCCTGGGTCTTGGCTTTCTCTGCTCAACGGCGGTCCTCCGCACCTCCTCTGGGCTTCTGTGAGACACTGGGCACCCCTGGCCCAGTACTGGACGGGGGTGGGCACTCAGGAGGCGGGGCCTCTGTTGCTACTGTTATTGGCAGATATGGGGGGTTAAAAGGTGGGGGGTTGGCAGGATCCGGTTTGCACTGGGAATGACCACGGTGACCTCATGGAGGAGGCTGGTCTTGGGCCCGAGTGGCGGCAGGCTCGCCAGTGAGAGGGCAGCCACCCTGGCCCAGGCACAGACCAGGAGCCTGGTCTCAGTACAGCGTGGGGTTGACAGGTGTTCAGAGGCTCCAGGGCCCAAAGGAGGTGCTGGCTGCAAGCCCTGGAACCTGCGGCATCCTGAGGGAGGGGCAGCCAGGCAGAAGGAGGCAGTAGGGCTTCAGGGGCACCCTGCCTGTCCCTGCCCTACTCTACCCTTCCCTGCCCTGCCGGGAGCTGCTTTGTGTGAAGGAAGCTGATGGGCTCTGTCCTGCCATGCAGGCCAGGGGGAGGTGTCCCGGAAGCTGGGACAGCCACAGGCTGGCAGGCCGGGTGGGGACACTGGCCCAGCACCGGGCCGGCAGGGGCTGTGTTCTCCAGAAGGGCACCGAGGTCAGGGCCCTTAGACGATGGCAGTGATTTGGAAACATAAGGGCAGCTTCCTGTCTGTTGACCATGTATCAAGGGGATCAGGGAGCTGTTTATAGCACAGCCTTTTCACAAGCCCAGAGCACACGACAGGCCCTGGGCCCCAGGCCGGAGCCAGACTCTGCAGCTTGGCCTCCTGTCTGCTG